TGCAGCGCGGGACGCCGCCCCTGCGACGCCCACACTCCACGGCGATGCGCTCGCTCAGCCCTCGTGCCGTTTCGTCACGGACAGGCGTCACCACGTCGGAGACCGTGCGTCGTGGCGTTAATCGAGGCTGACGGCGGTGGCGTGCCAGCAGCGCTGACAGGCGGCGGTGGACCAGTCCCTCGCTCACCCCTAGCAGGACAGAGAGCAGCGGGAGGGGCCGACAACTCTCCGTGCGGCATGCGTTCTTCCCGTGTCTGCGGATGCGAGTAGTGTCCCCCGTTTCCCGGGAACTTCGCAGGCTGCCGTCAGCAAGGGAGGTGCCACTCATCGTTCTGAGCGAGCAGCGGGCTGCGGGTACAAGATGGCGCAGCAACGCATTCAATACACCGCCGGGGCCAGGGGCCAAGACAAGCGAAGAGTCGCGAAAGGACAATTCAAGCGCATACAGCGCGAAGGGCCAAACCACATCCCGGCCACCAGGGGGCACGCAAGCACGAAGTGTGCAGACGGCAGTGGGGATCGCAGCAAGTGGGATTCAGACGATGCGACGGACGAGCGGGTTTCACTGCTGCCGGATTTCGTCGGCGCTTACCAGCGCTACACGTGTCGTCTGCGTGCCGTATGTGACGCACAGAGGCAAAAGCTACTGCGAGGCGGAGACGTTGAGCGGAGCCCGAGCCCCATAGCAGCACTCCAGATGACCGTTCCCTCACTGACGCCGGCCAAACCCGCAACATTAATGGCGCAGGGAGCAGACATGATAGCCATCCGGGAGACCTGGAAGTCGTCGGAGCAGATCGCCAGCATGCATACTGGAGAGTGTGTGCTCCACGCACAATCACGTATCCGCAAGGAATGTGTTGCAGCGGTGCTGGTGCGGAAAAACCTCCGCTCCAAGCGTATGCCCCTCATCACTCCTCAACGTGATTCCAGCCTCGACGTGGTGGTCCAATTCGCGCTGGGCCAGAACCGTGATCTTATTGTGGCGAGCACCTATATGAGGCCACCGCCGCAACCGACACAACCCCTAGGCGGTTGCTGAGCTGCCTCTCGGTCTCGTCGCCGCTCATTCCGTGTGGAGATTTCAGCGTGCGTCGCCCACGGTGGGAGCCCTTCCTGGAGACCCCTCCAAGCAACTCCGCTGTAGAATTTTATACAACCGCGCACGGATGCAGGACGCACCTCGGTTAACACCCCTGGTGAAACAAAGCATGCTCGTGGTGCAAGAGAGAGATCCTGTATCGACCGGACATGGTCAAGGCATCTTACCGTGTCCGACTGGACAGCCAATGTGCCGCCGCTCAGTGATCACTATGTGTTGGCACTCACGCTGCGTCAGGCATTTAAGGATACCATGCCCTCGGCACCCACTTCTGTGCGTCGAGTTTTCTACAGCTGGTGGAAGTCCAAGTGGGAGTCCTTCGCCAACGACCTCGACGCACAACTTCCAGCATGCGACCATAAAAAGCAATCAACCGGCATTAAAGCTTTTACGAGAGCACTTGCAGTTTCACTTCGACGGCATTGACCCCGCGGCATGCACAAGGATGATCCCAAGCTCCGGGGCGACACCCTTGCGAAGGCAGAGCGGATTGCTACCGACAGCAAGGCCCGCTGTCTGCAGTTACCGACGCCCGACCGTGAACAGAGACGCAACGGGCAAGGAGCCAATTCTTCCTCCTACTCCGAGAGCGCTCGCGCAGCAAATAACGGCGTCGCATCAGCAAGTTAAACCCAGGCAAACCACTCGCCTAAAAAATAAATTCCGGACGTAAAAAGACATCAATTCCGTCTCCCACAACGGCGTTGATGTGCGATGGCCGCAAGAATAATTTCGGGACAGCGAGGAGAGCAGCGGATGCGCTCAATCTTGGATTCCTCCCCACCTCGCAAGGCGATTGGGTTTTCCAACGGGAAAAAACGGAGAAAACAAGTCCTTGTGTATTTCTTCTCCCTCCCCTTCTTAGGCCGCAGAACAACAACGAGTCGGCCGCCTCATCTTCGATAGGTTCCTTCTCTCCCCTCTCTCTGGATGCCTCTTTTAATCGTACGGAACTGCGTGCAGCGCTGCGCAGCACACCGTACGGCAAGGCCCCGGACCGGACGAAGTCTACAGCGGGGCGCTACCACATCTTTCGACGAAGTGTCTCCGACTCCCTCTCCGCCGCATCAACCACAGCCGGACAGCCGGCACAATTCCGGTCCAGTGGCGACGAGCCACCATCGTCCCAGTCCTGAAACCCGGTAATTCGCCGGCGCTAACGGAGTCATATCGACCCATCAGCCTTCCTTCCATCGTGGGTAAGGTTGCTGAGAAAATGGCATTGAGGAGACTGCTTTGGCTGTGGACGCCTCGTCCGCACCAGTATGCGTGCCGTAGTATGCGTACCACGACGATGCAGCTGGCACACCCGATACACGAAGTGGAGCATAACAGAACCGATTACTTCCAAGCGAACCTTCCCAAGAAGAGCGGTGCTGGAAGCCAGCTCCACTGCAGACCCCATCGGGCTCCGTTGGTGCTGGTAGACTCCAGCAAGGCCTTTGAGTTCACTGGCTATCGAGTCCTCAGTCGCTTGCCGGCCAATATTCCGGGGGTAAACTGCCGAAGGTGGCTTGGAAAATTTCTGCGTGGCCGCTACGCGAAGACACGAGTTGGCAACAGACACGGCGATCGGTCTTCCACGCTGCGAGGAACTCCTCAGGGGTCCGTATTGGGAACACATTTTTGTTCTCCCTTTACGCACACCCACTTCTCAACCTGCTGAACGGCTTCTCAGGCGTCACAGCAGACATGCACGCGGACGACCTCTCCATTGTAATCAACGGCCACTCTCGGGAAGACGCCATTCCTGCAGCCAACACGGTCCTCAAAAAACTGCACGCGCGGGGCCAGTAAAGTGGCCTGGCCATCATCCCGTCAAGGTGCAAAGCCGCTTGGTTCACACTCTCCACGCACACGGAGTCAAACCATGATCGCAAAGGAAAGTGGTCGCTGGAAGTGGCTGATGTAAAATCCCAGTCATGGCCATGGGGGCATCGCGAACTGCGAAGCTTCTCGGCATGGATCTCGATCCGCAACTGACGCTAAATGTGGCGGCCGCCTCGCAACGGATATCGCAGCCACGCCGCATTGCGCACAAAGAGGCGGGGCCATCTCCACATGACCCACGCACGTTCATCATCGGATACGGCGCATCCAAATTGCGCTACGGCAGCGAGCTCATATGGGCAGTAGCGACGGATTCAGCGAAGAATGAGATGCAAGAGACGTACGCAGGTCTGGCACGCATCGTCAGCGGAGTTCCGAGCACTGTTGACCAGTAATCCGCACTCCTAGAAGCAAATATACCGCCGCTCCATGTCGTCCGCCTGCACGCGGCTCTCCATGTTTGATAACACACGCAATTGTCAGATGGACTGGGAGCGGAGATCAACGTCTGAGCCTTCGCCTCGCGCTGGTTTCCGCATCCCGCCGTTGTCTCGGCACGAGCCATATGCCTTCGTAGACGCATACGCAAAGGGCTACGGCATCACCGAGGACTCACCACGCGAAGAGCGGTTCTTTCGCGGCTCCATTCCTCCCTGGTCTGCGGCCTTCGCTCACCGGGTCGCCATCGGTGTGGAACTTCCGATAGACCACTCGATCACCGACGAAAAAGAACTGATAAGGGAAATGCGCAGAGTCAGCGAAGAGGCTCCAGCGCTGCACAGCCACCGCTCGTGGATACTCGCAGCGGACGGCGATTTCGACGTTCCCACGCCAGCCGGGGTTGGCATACCGCCTTCATCCCTGCATTCCTCGCAGATAATAGGGAAAGTAAGTAACAACTGCGGCACACGCCCTTGAAGCTGCAGGACGGAATCCAGTGCGCTGCTCCTGGCTCTGGAGTGGCTGATTATCCCTCGGATCCACCACAGACGTAAAAACCCCGCTTGTGGCGACACAAAGCCAGGCTCTCCTAGCGGCCCTCAACAAGGACCGGATCTGGCAGCGTCTCTTGACACTGATGCGTGCCGGCCGGTCCGTGCACCGGCAGTTTTTTTACGGACATTGTGGAGTGCATGTTGACGAGCCTGCGGCTCAGCATGCGACGCAGACCATGGCAACCGGACAATACACGGAACATGGAATCGCACCCATATGGCACACGGACCCGCTGACATGCTTTACTGCCCAGCCCAGCAACAAGTGGCGTCGTACCATTCGCCAAGACACTCACCGCTACTCGCTCTGTGGTGCCAGGAAGCGGTCTCTGCTACCGCAGGATCAGCCAACCTCCACAGGCACGCCAGTTGACACGCAGGAAACCTTTCACCATCTGCTTCTAGAATGCCCAGGCACCTCCGCTGCGCGCCAACGGGGGGCATTCAGGAAGATCCACGCAGCGAAAAGTTCTCTCAGTGGCAGTTGCTTCACAGCAGGAGGATTTTTCCGCTGCTCAACCGCCTCCTCGGCACCCAGATGGCATCGTGCGGCTAGACGCGTTGGTAAGAGTGGGAAAACAAACAAAAACAAATAAGGATTAGTGCACAAATGACAAAAGGTGACCGAAGCAACACAAATAAGATAATAAAGAAATAGCAAAGGAGCAACGCAAAGCTCATAGATGAATAATTACATGTATGTGTACGGGCCGTCCTTTTCCTTTTTTTTTTATGTCAATTTTTTCTTTTTACTGAAGTTTCTTTTCCTGCCGTCTTCGCTCGATTTATTTTCTGTACTCGTGCAATATATATGAAAGAATCCAAAACACACTACTCAACTAGCATTCACACATACACACTTCCCTTTTGGTACGCGAGACCACGTGTGGGGATTAATGCAACCCGCCCGCCCCAACTCCTGCGGCGGAGAAAGTATTCGATTTGCAATTCATAAACTTCTCTGTGCCACTAGCATTCCTATTCGTGACATGGCATGCGCCAAAACGTTGTTGACGGTGCGGAACTTCCTTCTGCTCTGGTTGAAAAGGTCTTATGACCTCCGCCACGGTGACGTGTGCTGGGCAGTTGCCGCTATGCCTCTGATACGGTCGCGGCGGAAGCGACGGTGACAATGACAAACGTAAACGATCTTGTTGCAAACTCCTTCGCCAAAAACTGCTGGGGGCTGACAGGGATCGTCCCACCGTCGTTGTTGACGCCGCGGCTACAGCGCCCGGCATGAGCGCCTTTTCTTCTTCACTGAAAACGGCTGGTGATGCTTCGACGGGCTCAGTGCTGCTGCTGCTGCCGTTGTTGTTGTTGCTGCCGCTACTTTCAACACTGACAGCGACACTTCTGCGCCGCCCCACGCGATGCTGCCGCATCTTATCCAAAAGTCCTGTTTTCCAGTCATTTTCGGTCAGACGACGGCCTATCATTTCTTGCGCCTCCGTGACGCGCATCAGCAACGCAGCGCGCTCCGTCAAAAAACCAATGAGCATTACCCGACGCTCGATAGCTAATATTCCCCTATAGAGGCGAAACGCCATGGCCCGGCGACCGGTGTTACAAAAATCAATAATGGCATGCCGCTTTTCACTCTCCGTTAACATCATCTCTCGTATCACCGCCTTTTCCCGCTCTCGGGCTATAAACAGTAAACGGCGTTCACGGAGTGAACCAGTACTTTGCTCCACCTGTGAAAAGTCCTCCTCCGTGTCAAACTCGGAGATGGTCCGCGGATGTTCGTAAAGCACGCTAGCGGTGGGCATGCTAACTTCCGGCCAAGTCCAAGACGCCGCCGTCTCTACACGGCGATGAAGTCTAAAGCGGTCGGAGAAAGCGTCATCAGCCGTCGTGGAGGAACATATGATCGTGTCAGACAACTCATTCTCGCATTTTCCACATTTTTGTGGTTCCACACATTGCGCGCTGGTTGTGACCGCTGCGGTCGTCGCAGTCATTTCTGACGGCGATAATGCCTTTGGTGGAGTTTGTTTTTCCTCCTCTCCCGCCGCGCTCCCCACACCCAACAGCAAGGGGCAGTTGGTACCATCATCCTCATTGTCCAGCTCGCCTCTATCAAATTCAGTGCCGGCCAAAACCTTTTTCCCACAGCAGCAGCAGCAGCCCATACGCCAGTCCCGTTCCACACACAAGCCGCCTCTATCCCCTCTTTTTCTTTTCTTTTGTCTGTTCGTATATATTTCTTTTGGTTGTTTTTTGTTTTTGTGTCCGTGCCCTAATTCTTTTCTCTTACCTTCCTTTTGTTATCCCCTTTCCTACCGTCTGGTCGGTGTCGCCCTCCCGCCCCTTCTGCTTTGATACGGCGCCCTCTCTGTCGTATCCTCCTTCCCCGCTCCATGTAACAATCTGAAAAGACGCCCAGCAGGGCCCCTTTTTTTTCCCCCCCTTCTTGTTCTCTCTCAATTTTTCTCTCTCTCTCTGTGTGTGTGTGTGCCTCCTTCCCCCCGTCACGCGCGCCTCCCTTCGGGTAATTGACGTGTGCTTGTCTCGCCGCTTTTCTTCCAATCCAAAACGCCCCTCAACTCTAGAGGGCGTAGAAGCACACAGAAAAGGACAACAGCTACAAAGCAAAACAAGAGAGAAAGCAGCGGGGGAAGAAGAAGACGGAATACCAGACGGAGTCGTCGTGGTGGCAGCCGCGGACCCCAACACACACATACCCACATACACAAATGTGCTTTTGCCTTGACCCTTTGCCCTCCTTATACACGCCGCCAGCACCACAACTCCCCCTTCTTTTGTTTATTCTTGACGCAATTTTTTTACCTTTTGCCCACTCACGTCCGCTGACGACGTCGGGCACGATGTGCCATGCCCCCTCGTCGTGGCGAGCTACATGTTCCTCAAGTGCTCTTCCCGCTCGGCCTCACGCAAAAACTTTACAAAGTCCTTCTTGCTGATGTAACCGACAAACCTCGAGCGGCGGCACACCATGATATGACGCACTCCCAGTGACTTGAAGAAGTACAGCATGCGTGACACCGGGCACTCCGGCTCCACTTGCAACATGGGGCTCTCCACAACGGAGGTGATGTCTATTTCAAGTTGGCCTTCCCGTAGATTTGTCGATGGCGCCGCGGAGAAGCGGACGGCGGTGTCAAAGTGAACGCGGCTGTCCTTTGCAGCAGCCACCTGAATCGCACGCACAATGTTTTTAGTGGGTGCATAACCCATCAGAGTCATGTCGCTCAGTGTGTTCACTACGGGAAAGCCTGACACATCCATCTCCTGCAGCAGCTGATTCAGTTGGCCAACCGTGAAACCGTATGCCGTGAGTACAGTAAACTGACGTTGTGCATACACATCTTCTGCAACGGCGTCGACATGGCACTCCTTCTTGGGATCGAGAAACGGTAAATTGTTCTCTGCAATGCCAAGCTCATATGTACCCTCGACCCCCACTGCCTCCGCCGCTGCCTTGGCGCATAGGATACCAATAATCACGGGTACAAGATAATCAAGCGATCCTGTCAGCTCAAACATGATGATAGCAAGACATATAGTCATGCGCGTTACTCCCGTGAGGACGGCGGCTGCGCCAACAATGGCGTACATCCCCGGTATAACACAGAGGTCTTGATCATAACATTCAGAAAAAATGTAATAACTGGCATAAGACTCTTGAAGTGCACGACACATGATGCCGAACGCTCGTCCATACAAGGCACCAATGGCAAGTGACGGGACAAGGATACCGGATGGAAGGAATGTGCCCATTGTGTACATACAGAGCAGCAGCTTTACGGTAGCCGCTATAAGGAGGTATATAAGGGTCTGCACATTGCCATCGTGGCAGAGTTCAATTGTGCTTTGCGGTGTGCAGTCTTGGAATGCGTCACCGAGCAACTCCAGCAAGTTCCCTGAACTGTACGGCGTGACAAAGTTGAAGACGGCTGTAATGGCCGCCACAACAGCTACTTCTGTCACACGCCACATTTTGAAGCGCAACTTGCGCCAACGAATTATTCGGATGTTCACCACATTAAAGAGCGATCCGACAAACCCACCAACCACCCCCAGGAGAGCGAAAAGTGGCAGCTGAAAGAAATGCCAGTTATGTTTGTAGTTCACGCTGAACTGCACAATGCGTCCAGTATGCCAGAGGTCTATCCGGGACTGAAACAACACCGCCGTCACACCGCAGATAAGGGCTGCCATCAAGGCCTTAAAGTTGTAAAAGCTCGATATTTCCTCCAATGCAAAGATGACACCTCCCACGGGTGCCCCAAAGGCCACCGCAACACCACCCGCCGCGCCCGCTGTAATAAGCTCGCGTTTCTTTGCCTCCAACCGATAGCTAGGGAAGACACTGGCGATAATCCCACCCGCGCATGCACCAATATGCACAAATGGTCCCTCCTTCCCAACCACAAGGCCGGAACCAGTGGAGAAACTCATGCCAATGGCTTTCGTGATAAGCGTCAATCCACCCAGGTAGCGGCGGACATGATGGCCTGACACAATTGTCTTCACCTCATTGATGCCGCCACCAGCTGCATAAGGTGCATACACCTTACAAAAAAAGGATGCTATCATCGCAGCAAATGTGGAGATGAGAACGTAAAAACAAAAATCGGCAAACGGCGCCACGCGATCCCCACGGCCAAGAAAAAACTCACCCCATGTGTAGTATCCGGTGCATTCTTCCTGCTCCACACAGCAGAGGTTACGCCCAAGCCAGAAGAAATTGGCGCAGATGCCCAACCGGAATGCCGACACCCAATGCGAACAGGCATCACAAAAAACGCCGAGTATACCTAAGAGAAGGCCTGTAACAAAGGCGGCAAGAAAACCTTCATTTTGTGTGAGTGCGTTTCGTGTATGAGCTGTAATGGAACTTCCATGGGATCTGTGGTACATTGCCGTGCGTCGCTCGTTTGCCTCGTGCTGTGAACTCACCCAGTCGATTGTTGCCCAATCGGACTCTGTTGGCGCGTTAACTATCCCGGTGAACTCGCCCGGCTGCCGCTGCTGCTGCTGCTGCTGCATGTTGTTATCTCTTGATTTCCATGCCATGCATCCGATTGCAAAAGGTAAGGTGAATGATAAAACAAAAGGAAGAGAGAGAAAGAGAGAGAAAGATAGAAAAAATCTCAAATACGGAAAATAAGGAAAGCGACTGCCAAAGAAACAACAGAAAAGGGGGTGGGGGATATAAACAAGGGAGTGCACACATAAAAAACTTTCATCGGCCTCATTTCCGTTTGACTCTTGCTTCCTCTCTTTACCAGCTCAGTGTCCATCACGCTCCTTCTCCCCCTTGATGCGCTTTACTCGTTCCGCAATCTTCTGCTCCATCACCCTTCGGCGCTCCTCCTCCGCTGCGCGTCTCTCCGCCTCGCGCTGCGCCCTGTCAAACGCGTCGCCCACCGCTCCCTGCTTCACGCGAAACGCCGCGGCAAACTTCTCAGCCGTCTTTTGGGCCGCCTCCTTCTCCACGCGCCTCGCCTCCCCCACTTCTTCCATGTAGTTCCGCATAAGCGAATCACGCAGCGTCTGGCACTCACGATCCACAACGTCGACTGCCACCCCGCCTGCTGTGCGCTCCTCGCGGTACAGGAAGACCTTCAGCTTGATGCTGCGCAGGGCCTCATGCCGCTGCAGCCGCGCGGCCAGCTCCCTGTTCTCCTTCGCTGAGCGCAGTGCCTCGAGTGGATTGACTGCTGCTGTTGGCACGTCATCTGTGTAATCCACTGGTGTGAACTTTGACAGTTGAGATATGGCCGCCCTGCTGCGCTGCACATAACCACTGAGGCCCGTCCCCTTCACACTAACAGACTCAATACCGTTGTACATGGCACACCCACACACCTGCACAAAGTGAAACAAAAACAAGAAAGAGGAATAAAAGGCTACAATTAAATGAGGAAAAAAATTTTCCATCCGCAAAAGAGGGAGAATAATAAAAAAAAAGCATTAAAATAGATTAAAAAAAAAAAAAAAGAAACAGTGAGTACCGCCCTCACCGGCTGAAACGGCTGCAGCAGCCGCAGGAAGAAAAAGAAGAAGAAGGGGCAATTAAAGAAACACACGAACGAGCGTCTTCTGCACCCGTCAACGCCATTTACGCCGTCCCCCCTCATGAGACAACAGGTGCCTTTTTCAGTACCTCCCCGTCCAATAAAAGGCTCTCGCCGTAGTGTTTCTCCAACCTTGAAAGAAACGCCGCACAACGTCGCAGCAATTCCTCTCGCGCTCGCAAGAATCGGACCTCATGCTCGCTACGGCGTTCAAGTACGTATCGGGTGGAGATCTCATCCATTTCCCACCGCTCCGACACTTTCATTCTGACACGCATGAAGCTCGTGTGCAGCTGCATGAAGAGCGGCTCCCCCTCATACAAATGATCCTGGAACTTGCGTGTGGAATTTTCGTGAAATATCGATGGGTCACGCGGGCTCCAAATCTTCCAGTGTCGCTGAGCATCCGTTGCATCGACCCCATATTCCCAATGGGATGGCATACTTGGAACCAGCATCGGGCCATAACCCACCACATTCTCCTCTTCACAAGAAGAAGACGCAACAACATAATTCCCCTGATCATCTTTTACGCTCGCTGCATCCATGTTGATCCCCGGGGCATCCCTCACCTGCCCTCTGAGCCCGGCGGAGGGCCGTTGTGTCTTATCCGTCATCCTACAATCGTAGCCGCAGTCAATACTGATGTAGCCGTCGTACGTGTCTCGTTGTCTCCGGGCGCTTTCAAGCGACGACACGGACTGACCGCTGATGTCTATGCCGATCTCCTGCATGACTTTGACGGCGAGCGGATGAACCGTCGCCTCGTGGTGAACGCCACCGCTTTTGATGAACACCGTGTTTGCCGTTAGGTGACGCAGGATCCCCTCCGCCATTTGCGTCCGCGCCCGGTTTGTCACCCCGGCGATCAGAATGCCGCGGCTGCAGCTGGCCATCTTCCCCCCACACCTAAAACAGGGAAGCAAAACACCAGTAATATAATATCGGCTATAAAACACTAGGCCCGAACAAAAAAACAAATGAAAAAAAAAGAAAAAGAAGAAAAGGAAATCACACACACATGCTAACTCAAAAAAAGCCAGAATGAAGCAACCCCGCCGTATGCATGTGCCTAAAACCCTTTTATATTTGTTATTGTTTTTCTTCTTTGGCGCACATACACACACACACAGGTATACCATTACTTTCCCCACACAAAAATAAAACCCACCAATAATGATGGTAGCAACAACAACAACAACAAGGAACGGAGAGGAAAGAGGCATCGTGTGAAATGTGTGCGTCCATTACACGATACACCTAGAAGTACAATAACTTACGGGTTTGGGAAAGAAGAAAAAACAACAACAACAACAACAACAAAGTTTAACCACCATCGAGTAATTTCTTTAGAACGGAAACGACCCACCCACTTTTTGTAAAAAAAAGAAAAAAAAACATTACCGATCACGCAGTACGATGTCAACTTCAATGTACGCTGGCTTAACCGATTTGAGCTTCACGAATCTTTCGAGCTCTGGGTCCTCCTTCAGCTGCCTCAAGACGACGGGGTAGATGGTGGAATGCCCACAACGGCTGTGTCGCCCACTGCCAATTACAATGGTTAGCCGTCGGATGCCTTTCTGCACACACAACTTCACGCGACGCCGTAACACCTCCACCGCTTCGTCCACATGAAAACCGTGCAGGTCAAGCGTTGATGCGGGGTCCTTCGCAAGCCGCTCCCGCTCAAGAGCAATCATGGCGATGCGGTTCAGATGGACGTACTCCGCACCGAGCTGCTTGCCATGGCGGCTTAGCGTCTTTGCCGTCTTGCCATCTCCACGCTTGTAGGCCTGCGTTGCCTGACTCATAACCCGAATACGACAAGAGTTGACGATGTACGCCTGTTCACGCACGCGTCGCCAGTCACCCAACTTGCGCAGTTCGTCATCCACCTCTTCGTAGAACCTCTGGATTTCGTCCCGTGTCGCAGTGGGCCGCAAGAAATAGGACGGTGGCTCCCCCGAGGTTGTCTTTTTAGATGCCGCGGCGAGTGCAAAAGCGGGAACCGTCTCTGTCTCCAGATTCAACATCTCTTTCGTCATCGCATTGAGTGCGGAGATGGTTTCTTCCGCGTCCCCGCCGGCCGCGCCAAAAGTGCTGCGCACGACCTCCTTCGGTACCGCAGGAAACATTTTGCACACTTTCTGTAGCCGAAATTCGTCCGATTGTTTGAGGCTACCGTTCCAGCAATTTCCGAAGGCCTGTTGCGTGATGTTTTCTGTTGAGCAAAGGAGTATTCCGTATGCCTCTGCGTAGTCCCCATTGCACTTACCCAAAACTGCCGCGATCGAGGGTACATCCAGGGCTGGAAACAATGAACACAGCGTGAGAAGAGATTCGTCTGCTGACTGCGTCTTCGTCTGCTCCAGCGATGCCTCCTCCTCGGTGCGCTCCTTCCAAAGGTACGCAACAACGTCCTCGACGGTCTCAAAGCCGTCCAATTTACTCAGCGTATCGGCCACCAAATCGACATCCCCGTTGGCAGAGCGAAGAGCATGCAGCAAAAGACGTGGCTCCGTGGCAGGGAACGCCTCAATAAGAGCCACGAGAGCATTCAACTCCATGTCGTCCAGTCTCCCATCGTCGTTGTCTTGAGGCGTCCGCTTCCCATCACCACTGCAACAATCCACATCCGATCCTAAATCGGGCAGAAAACTCGACAAATGCATTGCCTGTTGCCGCTCCCACGGTGCCTGCATCCATGACTCCTGCTCTCCCTCTTCCTGTTTTCGTTGTTGATGCTGCTGCCGTATTTGCAACGTTTCGCCATAATTTTTTTGCATTTCCTCTGGCTTCATGTTGGTATCACCCAGAGCTATTTCATCGGACAAAACTTTTCCAAACACCTGAGGTTTGGCGCGCCGCAAAAATTCCGCATTGTTTTCGTGACGGTACGGACAAGTGGACCCGCGATTGCACCGACCATTCAGAAATAAGACGCAAACGTCCTCGTCTCGATCCGCATGATTACAATTTTTCCCATATTTGCATGAGCCAAACTGAAATATGCAGGGATGCTTCCCCTTGTGCGATGGGGAAAAGGCGGTGGCGGCGGCCTTTGATGCGGATGACAACGCTGACGACGGCCCATTTGGTCCTTGCACCAGTGTTGATGATGTTGTGTTTTGCTCTGAAGGTTGTCTTCGCACCGCCTCCAAAAATGGTCGCGGCGCCTGCACCACAGACGCGCACGATGTCGATTGCATCTGCCATCCCAATGGATAGGGATCCGTGTGTGTGGGTTCGGATCCCTGGATAAGGTTGAAGCGACTTGGCAGTGGTGGCTCTCCCACCAGCCCCGTGACATCTGCATTTGGCTCTGCGTCACGTTCCACGGGTCTTCCAACAAGCAGATGATGTCCGTTCACTTTATCCAGCTTAATGATAACACCCGTCTGGAGCGTAATCCTCTCTTCACGCACCTCGGGGCGACGAGCCGCACGTATATCAACGCCATCCACATGGTGCCGTCTCTTGCAGGAGTCGGCAAAGGCACAATTCCCCATGAAGTGGTTGATACATACGTCGCCAGGGAGGTCTCGCAGGAGACAAAACTCACCGTAGCGACATTTCTTATACTGTACTATGCAAGGGTGTTTCTTCTCCTTTGGAGGGGCGATGGCCATCTCCATCTCACTATCATCGGGGGCTGGTTTCTCGTCAGGTGGCCGTGCTACATTCGACTGCAGCCGCTGCCGTTGTTTTTGTTGTTCTTGTTGTTTTTTTAGTATTCGAAGCGCGACATCAAAGTTGTTGCCGGCATCCTTCAGTGCCTGAGTTGATTTTGTTTTACTGAAGCCGCAGGACTGCAGTCTTCCTATGTTTTCTTGCAGGTGTCTCATTCTGCAATGGAAGAGAGAACTAAAAGAAAAAGAAAGAGAAAGAGAGGGAGAAAAGCATAAGAATCGGTCGTTATGACTGTAACGTGTGGCCGTACACTCCCTTACATACACACATGCCTCATTCGCTGCTGTTTTTTCCTTTTCTTTAAAGAGAAGTGAGATGGTTGTAGTGAGGACGCCGCCAAAGACACAAAAGAAGGGCTCGCCTCTCTCTCTCTCTCTCTCTGTCTTTTTTTTTTTTTTTGTCTTCCAGCGACAACCCACTCCTCCTCTTACATCATCGTCTGCACCCAAAGTTCCCCGAAACGGAATAAAGAGAGAAAGAGAGGAATAAAGGACGGGAGTTATTCCCTCCCTCCCTTCCTCTCTCTTCTTTTCTCGTATCAGTCGTCCGTGAGGTCAATGACACCGCAGTCACTGATGGTAATCTCCTTGCAGGGGCTTTGGTTGTGTTTTACATCTACATCGTGGATGGCCTCCACGACATTCATGCCGTCTATCACTCGGCCAAACGCAACGTAGCGTCCATTCATCCACGACATGGCCTTCATTGTAATATAAAAGGACGACGCATTCGTGTCCTCGTTGTCGTTGCACATCCCAATGACGCCAGGTGCGTCGTGTGGAATGGCATAAGATTCGTTTGGAAAATATCGACCATAGCACGAATAACCCCCGTTTCCGTTGTGGTCTCTAGAGATGTCGCCTCCCATCACCCACGCCCCACGCAATATACGGAAAAATGTGGATCCCCTGTACGTCAACTCAAGCGGCTGCGCCTCGCTTTCGCCATCTGGGACGACAGAAACGCTGCCAAGATCGCCATGGCACAAATGCCAAAAGTTGTTGCATGTCTTCGGTACCACCTGAGAGTAAAGCTCAAAGGTGATGCGGCCACAGGGAACATTGTCGATGGACACCGACATCCAGCAGTATCTGTTTCCCCGTTCCTGCAGGAACTTCTTCCATGACGCGTACGCCATCTTCTCATAGGAGTGGGCATCATCCGCGGGAACAGGGAGGAGACGAAAGCGGGTCTGTTCCTGCAGCATCTGCAAGAAAGCCTCACCGGACATGGCCACGCCACCATCCCGAAGCACAAAGACATCCATGTTTGTGTCGGCTACGCTTTTCTCATCAAACATCTTCTTTCGGCGGCTGTAGAAGTCGCGCGGGACTTCGCGAAAGATCTCCACGTAAAACTCGTCCCTGTACTCCTTCTGAAGATATTCGGCAGCCTCGCTGCATTTTTGGAACACCGGGTGGTTGATGAGGCCGCAGACGGTGAAGCTGTGACGCGTGGATGACATGCTGCGGCCCGGCAGGGAACAACGCCGAGTGGTGTGACTGACTTATTGGCTAATTCAGTGAAGCTCAGACCTCCTCCTTCCTTCCTTCCTTTACTTTTGCTCTGCAACGTCGTCTTCTTCGCTCCGGCAACAACAACACCAAAAAACAAAAGAAGAATTCATACGACCCCGCCAACACTACGCCCTCAGCATCAACGAAGACGCCGCACACACACACACACACACAGACAAGTTTATTTACGCATGAGCGAGTCAGACTGCATAATATATATAATACATATATCTAAATACAAATATATGTACCATTGATACGCGTACGCTTAAAGACTTAAAAAGAAAAAGAAATTGCGCAGCCAACGCAGGCATGCGCTGCAGCATCAATCGGAACAACAGTCTGTTACAACGGAAAAAGCACCATTAACAACACCCACACACAATGGTAAAGATAGCAAGGGCAACAGTCTTTGTGCGTGCATACAACCAAACAGCGTGCACAGACCACGTGGATAGGCACGGTACTGCACGGAATGTGTGTGAGCACGAGTCCTGGATTATCACTGACGCAGCCATCTCTTCACGGCGGTGTAACGCTCGGTACCATCTTCCCCATCGAAAAGTACGGCTGCACCTGACCCAATCAGCGGCCATAATCCACCAAAAGAGAGCAACAAGCAGACGCACATCGTGCCAGCAATACGATTCCGGCAAAGCGCTGACTCAATGTCCTCCCGCAGCGATGTGAGTGGAAGCGGCGGCGGCGGCATGGAAAAGACGCCACTCACGTTTTTCACGATGTTGCCTATAAAATCCGTGCCTGTCGAACTCGCTCTCGAGGGAGGCTCCGTGTAAATATCAGACAGGCACAAGGAGTTCACGTACATGTCCGTGATCGCGAATCCACCCGCAAAGCCAAACAACGCCCGACGCGCCCCTAACATGTTGATTTTGATGTTGTTCTGTTTTTATTTGGGTTTCTCGTCTACGCAACGTATGCGTACGTTTGCACCATTCACCTTCACAGTACGTGAGTTAAATAATAATAATAATAAAACGGGGAAAACACATGTAGAAGCTCCAAGGGCACAGAAACACACTTACACGCGTGTACATCCGTGCACGCACGCCCTCACACAAAGATGAGGAAAAATGGGATACATCAAAGTGGCGTTCTCATGTGAACTGTCATCTCGCGGAGAGATAATGGGTCACAGGACCAAGCAGCAGCCCGCTCCATGCCCCAGTCCCCCCCCAACTGCAAACAGCAGCAGAAAGAAGAAAAAAAAAAAAAAAAGAAAGATGACGTGGTTAAGAAAAACAAATTGACGGGGGACCCGCCCTCAACACAAGACCATACATGTGGATAAATAAGTATATACGTGCCTGTTAATTATCGTTGGGAAAACACAGAAAAATCAAACAAGTACATCGTATTTCTATCGCAAAAGCCTTCGCAATGAAGTCATCTCAGCTTCCGGGAGAGACGGGGTAAAGCAACAACTCCTTTACGGTGACATTGGCTGCGATGCGAAGTTCAACCCACAGGGTTGGTTTTTTCTCGTGCTCCCCCATGTACAAACGGACGGAAGCACCGTCTTCGGTGACCACATTCGCCAACAGGACGAAGTTTATCAACTTTTCCTCCTCCTCCTCCACCTCCTCCTCGTCCAACCTCAACTCAACCACTCGTACCGTTGGCTGTTTCGTCAAATGGACAGAAAATTTCTCGGCAGACAGCCTATGTGGCTGTCCAACCAGCAATGCACTTTTGGTCTTCTCACGCTCGCCAGAAGAAAGGAAGCCCAAACCGCCCAGCGTGCAGCCCAGCGGATGATCCGGCGAATTATTCAAAACAGATATGGACGTTATATGTGACCAATTTGTTCTTGCAGGAATAGCATAACGAAAAACATACCATCCACCCACAGACGCAACGACACCTGTCCCATCGGGAACATTCTCCTCGTCGAAGACAATCTGAGAGGTGGAATCCCCAAAACTGCCTTCAATAAGCAGGTATGGCAAAAAAAATTTATCTTCATTGGAGCCACGCCACCACGCCGCGTCAACAAACGCCAGCACACCATTAATGTTACTGCATCCAGCAAGACTTATTTTCGAACGCATGAGGGTCACGGCACTTGCGGAAGGCAAATTAAATCTCATGCTGCGATCACCCATCCACACTGGGTCTGTTATCCACTCCACGGGCAACACGGAGCGTAGTTTGCCATCATCGCTTTTCTGTGGTAACACGCACCAGGAGTGTTCCTCACTTGAGCTGAGGGAGAACTGATAACAGGGAATAAAATGCGTCCGGGAGAGTTGACACCACTCCACGACATGCGTACTCCCATCCACAACGCGTTTACCATTTAAGTAAAACTGCTTCCCCACACCTGAGCGGAAACAGCTCCAGACAGGCAGCGTGTCATACTCAATACACTTCCTTTCAAATATTTCCTGCAGCCCAAACCACATTTTGGCATCGGCACGAAGAAAGGTCTCCCGGTTAGCATTTCCCTCCATCTCCAACGTCCATCCAGGGGCAAAGAGTGCAACGGAAAGCTTCGCATTTTCCGCACATTCCGCGGCCTTGCCACTGTCATACCCACCACCTCCATACATGTTACTACGACCAAATACGTCCACTCCGACATACACTGCTCGAGCACGATCACCCGCAAGTGCCGCCGAGACGGGCAGTTGCCCTGGTCTCCATCCGTAATTTGTGAATAGACCACTAGCCACATCAAAAAATGGCTTGTTCTCTGGCGTGAGACCGTTCTGGTATCTCAGTTTTCCTTTTATGGTGACAGCATCGTACCAGAAGACCGTCCTTTCAGAGGAGGATAGGGGACGGTTCTTGTTGAGTGCATGCAGCAGCTTAGCCAAAAATGGCACCAACCGGCACGCAAGTATCGGGTCCAGGCGATTCTCAACGTTAATCAAATAACCGTCAAAATTATACGCGTTGCAAACTTCAACCAGCTGATAAATGACTTTATCCATTTCTTCCACGTTGTCAAGCATCATGCAAATGTCTGACGCGTCCCACTCCGTGAGGAAGGTGCCGAGCATGGGAACACCCTCACGGTGCGCGGTGTTGATCCACTCCTTCGGCGGGATGGAAACACGATGGTGCGAAAAGTAGACAAAGTAATCCACAAGATTCCAGTAGCTCACCGTGTAACTGGTGTCTACCACCGGGTTCACAGAGGAAGAGGCGTCACAAAGTGCGAAACGGGCGTAATCACTGGGATTGTACCCACCGCGCATATCATGGCAGACCAAAAGTCGAGTGGCTTTCAAGGGATTGCCAACAACACGCCGACGACAAGCCACAGCGGGCGTGATGATACCTGGTTTAGTAGCTGACCAGTCCCCCAGCTCCTTAAGGGATGACAGCGGCTGTCCGGCATCATGCTGAATAATTTGCAATGCAGTATCGCCTGGGTCCTGTTCCGTAACCCCTTCCGGGGGATCGATCCCCTGAACGTCATGCGGCACCTCATGACAGGTGGGGTTTTTGTCCACAGAAACAGATACGGGTGCCTCCCTATCCACCGCGTCCATCAGCTCGTTCAAATAGGCAATCATGATACTTAATATTTCCTCGCTGCCATCTGCATCACTAAGATACCATTGCTGCCCTGTGCCGGAAGGATGCTGACGCAGACGAAATCCAGAAAGACGAAAAATTTCAACCACGCCAAATTTCTCCAGTGGAAGCAATTTTGTCTTGTAACTTTGACTGGTTGTGAGAAGTCCTCGGTACTTAGGCTCAGTCGGTTGCTCCAATATATTCAACAGGGATGTGCGAAGAAGTGCAATAGCCCCACGCGTGATATCGAAGCCTTCCTGAGAGCCCGAGGACAAAAACTCATTGCTCTGTAGCATCGCCAAAGCGACCATAAGGTCTTCCTCTTCGGCTTCTGTAAGTTGCGTCCTTGTCGAATGCAGGCCAACTTCTTCGGCCGCGGGAGGGGCACCCCCTTGTAGGGTTGATGGCGAGGCCGAATTCCCAGCTGCAGTTACGCTCTCCAGCAGGGGACGCAACATACGACCAAGAGGCGTCCCCAACACTTTGGGGATCATATTGCGTATTTCATCTGGAATATCTCGGTTTACCAAAAATCTCGCCGCCTCCTGCGTGAAATGATTACAGTTACGGTAAAGAAGGCTGTAATCATTTGGACCAAATCCACTGCCACGTTGCTGCTGCGTCCACATAAGAAATTCCGCCTCCGTTTTGGTTGTTTCTCCCAGAACCTCAACGCGCCTTGGCTGACCAAAACGCGTTTTCCCCGGGGACTCGTGGACAATGCCCGTGCCGCCGTCAAAGTAAAACTCCTTCTGATAGACGACGATGGCGGTGTGCCAGATCGCATCCAACTGCTCCCCAATCAACATCTTGCTCATATTTTCAGCCATTCCGCCCGACAAGTCATAACAGTACAGTTGGACGAGTGATTGGCGCATACCGATCCCTTTTCTGCGGAGTAGTGAACTTCAGCCTCACCCAAAAAGTATCCTTTTCTCTTTTTTTTTTTTTTGTGTGTGTGTCCGCGTATGCCTTGTCGCTCTCTCTCTCTCTCTCTCCCTCCCTTTTTTTTTGTTTGAAAATGTTGTTGCCTTTTTCCGTGTTTGATTTCCTTAATAGTTTTTCTGCCAACAGAGAAATAAAAGATGTGATTTGAATGCCCTCCACCCAAAGATGGTTATGAAGGTGCCAGAAGAATCACGGACATCACTCGGCAAATGGCCAGTAGTTCAGAGCAACAAACAACACCGCAGCTGTCGCGGCACGACTCTACTGGATGGTGTATGGAGGGAAGGAAGTAGATGCGAACACGAATAAAATGGATAAAACGTGACAAGAGGCCTTCCACCACGTGAAAAGCCCATCAAACTTACAGGGAAAATCACGGGGAAAGAAAGAAAGAAAGAAAGAAAGAGAGAGAGAGAGAGAGAGAGAGAGAGAGAGAGAGAGAGAGAGAGAGAGAGAGAGAGAGAGAGAGAGAGAGAGGCAACATCAACCCGTACTGTGACACGGGAGAAAGCACCAGGACTCACACCAATTGTGTGAGACTGTCGCTGCTGTTATGTCATGGCGAAATCCTGATGGGAACAATGGCGGGAGGCATTGACCGCCGTGCATGTAAGTGCCATTTGTTTCCTACGTTTGCCCTGGAGCCCTGTTCCAAAAAACAAAAACAAAAAGCAAGGCGAAACAAGAGAGAGAGAGAGAGAGAGAAGAGTGGATCCATTTCAAAAATGCGGTGGTGAAAAAAAAAAAGAAATAATAAATAAAAAAAAAAAGGTGAAGCGAAGGCCTCCCCTCACCTTCTCTTCTGAGGCTCTAACGGAGATAGACCTGAAGTAATCGTGATAACAGAAGCATAATTTCAATAATTAGAAAAAGAAGGGGGGGGAAAAAAAAAAAGACATCTAAAGCGCATTGCGGTACAAATAATGATTGAAGAATGTACAAAAACAAAAAAAAAAAGGTGTTAATCATGTAATAAAAAGCTGCAACAGGAAGGGATCAAAGAAAAGTCTTTTAAAGGTGTTCATCAACACACAGCCACGAAGATCAATTCTCTATCTATTTCCCCTCCCCCACAAGGAGAGAGAAGTGTACATGTGTGTGTGTCTCTCTCTTTTCGAATCACTCTGCCGATGGCATGCCGGAGGCTAAGGTTTACGGGCGGGAGACAAATGAGTCCAACATTACACCTCACTGTTATCCACGGGAGATGCTGTCACTGTCGTGGTATCCTCGGAGGTCAGCACCAACTGCACGGTGGTGGATTGGCTCTCTGTGTTTTCTTCTTCCAGCTGGAGGAGGATCTCTGACATCTCCTCCTGGCTTAGCAGCTCGTGACGGCATTCATTTGAAGTGGAAGGGGACAGACTTGAGGGTCGCCTGCGTTTTGCGCCACAGCGACGCGAGGCGGACATGGTGAGGGATGTATCGGACCCCCTCTCCGTCTCTACGACTGCCTCGACGTGAACACAACTGTTGTCGCTTACGTCGCAGACAAACGGCAGCGATGTCAGCGCAGCGCGCTCCTCCGGACACACGGCGTTGGGGTGCAGGGACTCCAACTGCGCCGCCGTCTCACTTTGGTCCAGAGTGCCCACGTCAAACATGCTTCTTAGCTGCAGACGTGTAAAGTAGCGGTAGAACTCTGCGCTGCCACGCCCCGTCTGTTCCCTCACTGAGGTACCTTGTTTTGCCGCCATGACCTTAAAAACCTGGTTGCGGTAGACTTTTTCCTCCACAGTGCCGCACGTGATAAGACGGTACACAACAACGTCGCGTGTCTGGCCGATGCGGTGAACGCGGTCAATTGCCTGTGCGTCTGATGATGGGTTCCAGCTTGGGTCCATTATGATGACTGCTGAGGCGGCTTCGACGGTAAGGCCAACGCCACCAACCTGCGTCGTGAGGAGGCAGACTAATAGGCGCTCACTCTGGTTGAACCCTTGGACGGTCTTCAGACGCTCCTCTGCCGGCACGTCGCCATCCAGGCGTGCAAAGTCAATCAACCAACACCTTAGCGCAACGGCCAAGAGATCTAACAGACGTTTTGACCGTGAGAAAACAAGGGTCTTGCGCTGTTCTCCAATGCATTTCACAACCAACGCGAGAGCCGAAGAAATCTTCGAGCTGTTGAGGGCATCACCGCAACTGCGGTTTGCCTCTGGACTTGCCAGTGGATTCTGCATCGCCTCTCGATATGCCTCATCGCTAAGGCTGAGCCACGGGTGATCACACGTCCGCATCAGCGATGTGAGAAGAACAAGCGGCTGAGACGTGTCTGCACTACGAAGTGTCACGTCCACGCGTTCGGTTTTGAGGAAAGAGAAGTACTGCTGCTCTTGTGTATCGTTCAAACGCAGCCAAATAATAAGGTCCCTCTTTCCGACACGTAACATCTGCAATTGACGCTTGTCGCGACGAAGCATGAAGGGGCGTATGGCGGCCTGGATGAGTGCCAACTGCCTTCCCGCGTCGCCTCGCTCATTCTCAAGCGCATCGCGCTCATTTCCGCGCAGCAAAACCGCATTAATAGAGCGAAAATCCGCCCGTGTGGTCCCAAGGATGGAGCCGTCAATAAAATGAAAAATACTCCACAGGTCCTCAAAGTTGTTCATTAAAGGGGTCCCAGTAATGGCAATGCGGTGTCGAGCTGAAAGGGCCATTGCACTCTGAAAAACATGCGTGGACGCATCCTTAATCAAGTGTGCCTCGTCCATGATAACATAGTCGACCATTCGCACCCCCATGGCACTACTGTCCTGCCGCAACACACCGTATGTTGTGAGAAACAGACAGGGGGTGCCATGCTTCAGCCTTTGCCAGCGCTGAAGCCGTTTGTTCTTAGCATCATTGTGAATCACTTCCACAACCGGTGGACCCAGGCGTCCCCATTGCTGGAGCGCTAACCCCCATATGGGCAATAAGGTGGGCGGCACGACAATGATGGTACTCGTGACAAGCTGGCTCATGTAAAGCGCGCCAACAAAAGAGGCAATTTGCACCGTTTTACCAAGCCCCATTTCGTCCGCGAGAAGACAACCACGGCCCTTCCGGTGCCTCTCATACAGCCATTGAACACCTTCCCTCTGGTAGTCGAAGAGTTTCAACTCGATCTCTGGAGAAATGGGCAACGTCTCCGGAAGGGGTATGGCGGCAGAAGAGGCTGTTTTCTTGCGGCTGCTGTCGATTCGGATTGTGTTTATCGAATCATTCTCGCGCAGCTTGGCAGTGGGAGTCGGTGTGATGGTAGTGTAATGACTGATAGAAAAGAGCTCTTCCAGTTCCTCGTCGTTCATTGTTTTGCTGTTCCGTCTGATTGTGTGTATGATAGAAAAAGCAAGCAAGCAAGCAAACAAACAAACAAAAGAAAGCATGGCTACATTCAACCCCCACCCCGTCCATTCCCTTCTTTACCAAAGAGACGATAATTTTCATGAAGCAGATCAAAAATGTGGCCCAACACATTAAGGAATATATACACAACTTTACACCTCCCCTGTATGCATGCATACGCATGAGGAATATATTATTGGATATCTAACGCAAGGCGCACTCCTGGCCATTCTTTTTTTTTTTTTTCTTCTTCATCTTTAATTCTCCTTTTCGTTCTTTTCTAATCTTCATTAGGATACATGTATACACACACACTCACAAAGACACTTTCTCATCGGTATGGTTGATAGGGAGAAGACCATTATCGCGCACGACACTGTCTCGCAGGCGCAGCACGGAGCTCTGCAGTCGCTGGATGCCGTATAGACCGTTCAACTCCACTGTCGATTCGGTCACCATGAAATTGGAGCCAGGTGATAGAAATATTCCGTTGCCACCGTTTCGCAGCACACTGGATCGCTCCAACGTCCCTTCTGCACCCTCGTATCCAACAATGCCATCCGTAGTGTTCTCTTCCAGCACAGTCTCCCTTGCATGCATGGAGGACTTACTCGCCACCCGAACCCCTGCTTCACAGAGCGTCACTTTACACTGCGTCATAACTGCCTTTGCGCCATGGCGCAAAAATACGCCCGCAAATGTGCAGGAGGAAATTAATGAGAGATGCAGACGGATATCTGTGTGCAAACCCACAGCCTCCACTGCACAGCTTCCCTGGTAGAAGTGACAGCCGTGAAATTCTACATGCGCGCCATCTGCCACGGCAACCAGCGGGCAATTTGGCGCGGATACATCCACATGCATCTTCCCCAATGTGTCGTTTTCCACCAACACCACACCACTGAGCCGCAACCGCGTCTTTCTGCCTGCTGCCCGGATGATAGGCTCCAGATTACTCAGTGGCCTAATAATAACCGGCGCACCAGGGAAGACAGCAACCAGCTCCACATCGCCGCTGTTCAGGAAGCACAGATTTTCATGGTACACGCCCGGTTCCAGAGTGACGGAGTCTGTATCTGCAAGCCCGCCTTTTGTCAGAAGTGCACCAATAACTGCAGCCCTCTTATGCTTGTCCGGCTTCAATTTGTGCACCATACCAATCGAGCGATGCTGGTTCAATTGTTTATCCATTTTTAATGCTGCCGGCGCCACCGCTGCCCGCACTTCATCGTTAGGCCTCACAGAGCTGCATTCTGTCGGTGGCATCTGCGCCCGCAAAAAATGCGAGTTGTTTGTGGGGTTCATATCTTTGAAAGATACATCACGGAGTCTTTCACCATCCATGTCTGTTTGCGTTCCCGTAGACACCGTCTCTACCCTCACCGCATGAACAGCCGCGTCACACCTTCCAGGAGATGTGCTTTCTGTTTGCGTTGCCACACTTTCCCCTGCAGTTCTTTTTAAGGGGACCGCAGCCCCCGCCGTTGTGTTTTGTGTTGCAGTTGCCGTCCTATTCAAAATTGTCCCACTCAAATCCTGAAATCGGTGGGCGCACGTGGTGAAGTGTTGCATGAACCTCATCGCATGGACGAGAAGATCCCCCTCCACGATAGCCCGCCCGCTCAGCTGATCCAATAGCCGGCGCAAATCAACGGACTCCATGTCTCGCAGCAGATCCTGCATCTCAGCGCAAACGGTATTCGACTCTGTTTCAGACATACCCGGTTCAATGTTTACGTTTCTCGCCCTGGATGTCGCCTCAACACCGTCTGTAACATCCGACTCCTCATACTTCATTCGCAACGCAGCAAACATCGTCTCCTCTCTACCAGCAAATGCTTCCAGGAGTGAGTCCACCTCGCATAACTTTGCGGGGTTGTGCTTCTGATAGAATGCAACTAGTCTCTCTCGGATACCCATACGACACGCCACGAGAACGCAGAATGCATGTACAGGAAAACCTCTCTCTCTATCAGTGACATTTAATGGAGGCGCGGGCAGCAATGAGCATTTCCATGCGGCAAGACATAGTGAAAAAGGAAACACACAAAAAATGTACAGACGAGAGAACAGAAGGGAACGTGCAGGCAACTCACTCCGCAGCGGCACACAATTAAGTCTCGGAAACCCACAGCCCCAAGAAATACACAACGTGGGAGGAAAATAAAACAAGCAAACAAACAAACAACAAAAAATCGTCACTGTGGACTTTCTCTTTGGCAGAATTTTTTTAAACCCTTTTTTCTTTTTCTTCTTTTTCAAACGCACTCACTGAATTTCTTCTAATTGCCTTCTCTATGTATCGCATGACATTTACGCTCGCTTAAATGGGCACAAACAGCTGCTTCGCCGCACTGAATTTGCGTTCAGACTCGTCAATCTCTTTGAGTTCACTTTCAATCCTGTTCCGTCTCGCCTTGATCGACTGTGTGTCGTATCGGATGGGAATTTTGTGCAGCTCGTATTCCAGCTCTTTACGCCTGCTGGCAAGTTTTGCGAGGGTTTCCTTCCGTTCCTCCTCTGTGACGGGGCGGTGGCCTGGTGGATACTTGGCGATCTCCTTCTGCCGCTCCATTTCGCGCAGCACCGCCACCTTCTCCGCTGCCAGCTCCGCCTTGCGCTGGATAATATACTTCGGCACCACACCGCGAGGAACATTCACTGCGGACACCGGTGCCTGTTCCTTTTTTGGCTGCACCGGGACGCGAGGGAGAAGCTGCTCCGGCTGCGGCTTGGGTGGCTGCTTTGTGTCGCCCCGGCGCCGCAACGCATCGCTCTCCATGAAGCTGAATTCTTGCGCCCGGCCCTTTTCGCACTCCCGGATAAACACTTTTATCTCCACGTCATCGCCCCCGCCCCTCAGCTGGCCGTATCCGTGCGAAGAAACATGATTGTACCGTGCCTTCTGGCGCTGAATGAGTTCCTGCGCCCGTCTTTCTTCCACCTCGGCCTCCCGCGCCCTCTCGCGATTCAGCTGCTGCTGTTCCCGTATCTGCAGGTAATTCTGCCGAGCTGCATTGCACGACATGCACGCTCCCGGCACAAATATGTGAGTCTCGCAGTTCTCCCTCGCTCTTTCTCTGTGTGTTTGGGTGCCAGGCCTCTCTTAAACAAACAAGGGATCTATTCCTGTTGTGCTGCCTCTCCCTTCTCTCCAATCCCTCCCGGGGAGTACACACATCCACACAAATGGAACAGGAACGTCCATGTTGAAAAAGAAAAACCAAATCAAAGGAAAAAAAAAGGGAGGATGCGTCACTTCCAGCCGCTTCAACGGGAATGCAAACAAAAAAACAAAGAACAACAACAACAACAACAACAAAAGCAACAAGGCAATCGACAGAGGAAAATGTTCACAACAGAGTCGATTCCCTCTTCCTGTGAAACCACATTTACCATTTTTTTTTCCTCCTCCTTCCCCTGGTAAAGAGAATGAATAACATATTCCCACTCCTCTTCCTTGCACCCTTCCAATTGTGTGGCCTCAGCGCCACAGCCCACGGAGCTTTTTTCTTGGCACCATATAAACACAGATACACCCACGCCACACACGCGCCGCCCATTCTTCTCTCCGCTCTTTAACTATTGCTAATGATTTCCCGAATTTTTCGCTTCAATGTGTCCAAATTCGCCCCAATGACGTACCCAATCAACTTGCCATTTTTCACAAGCATAAAAGTGGGAAGTTGAAGAACTTTGCACTTTGATACAATCTCCGAGTTATTGTCAGCATCTACCTTTGCGAACCGCACTGTCGGAAATTCAAACGTAATCTTCTCCATGGCCCGTTCGATGGTCTTACAAGGGCCACACCACACAGCTGTAAACCATGCAACCGTAAGCAGGTCCTCATTTACAATTTCCCTGAATTGCTCTACGCTGTACACATCCACCACTGGCATTTCCTCCTTTATCTCCACCGTGTTCTTCCCTCTCCCACCCTCTCCGGCGTAATCTAGAGGGCCTCAAATAAAAAATCAGAATAAGCAAATTGAAAGGAAGCCGCGGGAGTCGTTACCCACTTTCACCGCCCTCCTTCCCTTTTTCGTTTCTTTCCCTTTAAACCCTGAGGAGACCAGAAAAAATAGAAAAAAAAAGAAATAGAATATATACATACATATATATGAATAATCTTCCGGGCAGCTCGCCGGATCCTGAAAACCTATGAAACCCAAACAAGTTAAGAAAAAGGGTTAGTTAGTTAATTGCTTCAATTTTTTCTTTTCATTCAATATATAGAATTCTGTTGACCACTCACGTGGCCTTTGCACTCAGTGAGTGTATGAAATATTATTTCTTACGACGTGGCAGACTTTGGGCTCCTCCAACCACAAGACCCCGCCGCGTGGTGGGAATCAAAAGGGTTAGGGTGGGATGGCAAAATAAAAACAAATATTATCTGGCCTCTATCGGCTCCCTGCCCCTACAAAGTCTTTTCCTTCCCAAAAGATTCATACGGTAGAAAGTATCATAAAGAATGCATTCATTTATCAGGGTGTACATTAATTAAGTTAGCCAGCTCTCCCGCGATCATTCGTTTCACAAGCTCCTAATATATACAATGAAGAAGAAACAAAAAGAGGAAAAGAAAAAAAAGAAAAAAAAAGAGCAAAACGTAGCAAGGATCAGACAAGTTTGTACCATCCAACCATGCATTTTATACTTGCGTCAGGGCTGAAGCGCAGAATTTGCCCAACGAGTTAAGGAGACTTCTTTTCCGCACCTTCGCCTTCTTGTTGGTGCGCTGACGAGGATGTTGGTGGAGTTGAGGAAGAAAGGAAGTCTTCTAATGAGTATCCGCCCGGAAGATAGCGCCCATTGGGATCAATTTCTCGAATAAGGACAGAGTGGTCGTCTGAGCAGCGACCTCTCTTCCTACTCCCTTTTGAAAGCACCCGGAACGACCAACGCTTGTAGAAGTGGGCGACACTCTTGTTCAACGGAGACAGTGAAACAGAGTTGCCACCCTGTCTCCTCATCCATTCCATTGCAAAAAAGAGTAAAAACGACCCCAATCCTCGCCCCTGATACTCCTTTGTGCACGCAATAATTGGGATCCATCCCGTGCTGTCCATCGACAGAATCGCTACAATACGACCGTCCTTTTCATTAACCACCTCAATACGAAATTCAGCCGCAAAAATATGACGTATCAAGTCACATCCGCCAAAGTTGTATCCACATGCCTCCAACACACAGAAAATCCACTGCTTTTTGCTTTCTTGCCTGGCATGGCGTAAAATCAAAGCTCCACTAGTGACGCAAGAAGGCACAGATGGCACAGGGTGCAACACAACCCTCTTTTGCAAGGCTTTATTTTTAAAAACAATGGGACATGAAGTAGCACGAAATCCATGCCGCTTAAACAACCTTGTGCAATCATCCGTGAGCATTGCTTCTATAATATCCACACAGTTCACCCGAGAAAAAGCTTCCACATGTTGAAGTAATGAACGTCCCACATTTATTCCGCGAAAGCGGCTAAGAACGTAAACCCAACTAATAGCAACAACCCGTTGTTGCGCAAGAAAACTTGTGTTAACGACCACAAAGCCTATAAACCCACGTTCTGAATATTTATCCTCTTTCAATGCAATAAAAATAACAGAAGATGATGGATCACTGGCCACCTCCAAGAGACCCGGAATGGAATGTGCGCCACTAGACAGAAGTAGCTCTCGGACCTTACTTCGTTCATTACTATATACACTACGCTCTAATACATGCCTTATCGTTATTTCTTCTCCCGTGGCTAAATGATATAGATGAGGTGGGACGCTAACAAAGGAACTCATGTATTTGCTTCCAAAAATGCATTGATTTTCTTAGTTTTTAAAGGTTGGTGACCCTTAGCACATGCAAGAAAAAAAAAAAGGATATTAATAGTATAAACCAATGCTTAGGGAAACGAATAACAAATACGTGCGGAAATGAGTGAAAACAAAAAAACAACAAGCAAACAAAAAAATTACTTTAATCTCAGCCTGGTATAAGCGGATCATCTACATCGCATGGCCACCCAAGTTTCTTAAACGTCTTTTCCATATGAATTGGGAGAGGAGCTGTAACACAGACAAATTCCCCCGTACTATTCTTGTATGGCAGCTGAATCTTTCGGTGATGCAAGTGCAACGGCAGTCCTTTATCCTCTGGATCCCAAAAGAGGGACATTGATGATGGGAACGCTGACTCTCCTCCGTATTTAGCGTCACCCAATAAAGGAGAACGCAATGCATGAGCCGCCATGATGCGTTCCTGATGACGACGTGTTGTTAGTGGGTAAAAGGAAATGAAGCTTCCAAACTCCAATGCACTTGCATTAACAACAAATTCTGCAATACCTACTTTGGAAGTTTTGGTTGGAGAAGGACGCGCAACGATGATATCACCCTTGGTTCCCCTCGTCATTTCAAAGTGCATGCGTATCCTTCCAAAGTTCACACTGGGCTTACCTACGCAAAATCCCCAATATACACTGTTTGGTACCACACGTTTCACAAACATACGGGCTAACATGCGATGTGCGTTTTTGCTTCTTGCTAAAACAACACAACCACTGGTTTCCTTATCAAGGTTATGGCAAACAATAGGTTTCGTTGAATTTGTGTACTTCCAAGCAGAAAGCATAGCGGCTATATTCATTTCCTGTGGGTCACTCGTTGGCATCATGGGGACACCATGGGGTTTGTTTATGACAATGACATGTTCATTTTTGAAAAGCACCATATTATGTGCCATTTCCCTTACCTGCGAAGACAACTTAAAATGTGTTGGCTTGTTGCTCTCCTGGAGAACACCAGTGGGAGGAGCAAGCTGCCTTTCGTAAAAAACCGGAGTTGGAACGACAAGTAGTTCATCAAACTCAAGCCTATCCGTTATTCGCGTGAATCTTTTCTTTCCATTTTTCCTGTATCGGTAGATATGACCTTGCTGAACCAAAGTTTTCATAGTTTCATAACTCCATTCAGGATGGTGCTGAGTAAGAAAAGTGTCGACACGCTGACCAAACCAATCTTGAGTTATCACATGATACTGTACTTCATCTGATTTTTCCGCCAGAGCCTGACGTGCTCTAAGGGAAAGAGGGCGGTATTGTCTTTGGGTATCTTCTGTTTTTTTGGGAGCATCCTTAGACCCCAAATCGGGTAGGTGTTGAATGGCGGCCGGCCTCCAAGCAAGACGTCGAACAATGACACGTAACATGTAGAGACCTATTATGCCGCAACATGAAGCAATACAGCAGATGATATATATATATAAAGAATATGAAAAGAAATAAGGCAGATAGTTGTAAAATTCAAATAATTGTGCGCAGAACAGATTCATAAATTCCTTTGGAAGAAATTAATGTTAATAAACACATACACACACACACACACGAAAAACAACAACCCCAAAATCAACTTTTCACTCATCATCTAGATTTTCCCCTTCCCCTGTAAAAGGCTTTGCGCCTACTTCTGACATCATATCAGCGTACTTTGGAGCATAGTCTGACTTCCAGGTTCTAATCGAATCAGGAACACGAGACTTCAGTGCTTCCATCTTCTGACCTGTGCGGTGTTCATGAAGTTTGAGAAGCTCACCATGCAGATACAGCAAACGATATTTCTGATAATTATCTTCACAGTTAATTTCATGAGCGCAATCGTTTAGTGCATCACGGTGAGGAAGGCACTCCCTTATATTGTAGGGTTGAACCGAATTCACACAGCCTTCATACTTCTTGACAAATTCCCAGCACTTTCTTGTGGTTTCCTCTTTCATTCGCTGTAATATTCCATCATGAATACGTTGTTGAAGATGCCTCTGAATGTGAGGCGGTGTACGCGCAAGCATGGCCTCCAACTCTTCATTCAACTCCTTATCTCTTTCATCATAACCCACAGAACCGGACTTGTCATAGTATGACATCTTCGGTTGTTTCTGTTTGCGTTCTTTTGCCGCAATAACGTCCACTCCCACCCACCCACCCACACAAATATATAAAAAAAAAACTAAAAAAACAGCAAAACAGCAGAAAATCATTTAAAGTGAAGAATGAAAAAAAGTGTCAATTTAATATTAAAAGTAATTGCATATTCATTTCGCTTACGGGTTACAAATAAAAAAAAAAAAAAAAAAAGAAAATATTGCCAACAGTCATTCCCCAGGTTATTCGAAGGATAATTGATAATTACTATTCCTGTATCCTAAATAACTACTCAATTATTGCTCCTGGTATATATATTTTTCTTTCTCCTTTTCGATATACATGGCAAAATAGAATCGTACAACATGAGGCGCTTGATTACATCAGGAATCACCTTGCCGTTTCAACTCCGCCTCTGCCTGCTTCTTGCGCACGCGCTCTGCATCAGCTTCCTTTCGCTGAGCAACGGACATTCCATCTGAGCGCCGTCCTTTTTGCTTTTCCTGTTGTTTTTTCATATTTTTTTCACGGGCAAGATCTCGTTGGTTCCCGCGTGTCATTTTTTTTTTTGCAATACGTTCTAATCTATTTGCTGTTGCAATTGTATCCTACAGAACATCTGGAGTTTAAAAATGAAACAAAAAAAAAAAAAAAAGAAAAAAAAGAAGAGAAGTTTCATTTTTTTGGTTCCATTGGAGTTTGTTTTTCTCACACAATCAACACAGAGCCAAACTTTAAAATCCTTTCCTAAAGCTTTTCTTTTCTATCCTTGTTTTCCTGCATTCCCTAACGGCAGAGAAAAAGAGAAAAATCGGGAAAACAGGCCACGCGCACCGGAGGAAGTGCCTTTAAAGGTAAATATTCAGGCAACTCGGACGGTTGCGCCACCCCACCCAACAGAAAAAAAGACCACACTTAGACTGTGACAACTCCTTCGGAGCTTTCATTGCTTTCCCTTCCTCTACAGAAACTTCCTCCGAGTTGGCAGTTCGCCAAAAAAATATTGCCATCTGAAAAGTGGGACCTAGATTCTAAAAATTGATGCCCATTACCTTTCTTCGTTCGCATTTCTTAAAGAAGGGCAATACTCTGTTTCTCATAGCCAAAATGAATGCTGGCTGTCTTAACAGCCTTACGTCAATTATTGGCAATCTCACAAAACAACTCAACTTCTTTTGGCTTAAACTGAATCGGTAAGGGCGCTTCCTCTGTTTTTCCAAATAGCATCCAATGCTTTTTGGAGTGTCTCTTTGTAAAGAGGGGATGATGAAGTAGTAAATCAATTTCAAATTTGCAAATGGAATCAAATGTTGCTTCAAAAAAGATACCAGATCCCGAGGAACGGATGAGGGGAAAGCTTCCAATAACCCCTTTATTAGTTTTAGACGGGAGTCAATTTCCATTTCAAGGACTTCCGTGGGACCTTTATAGGAAGTAGTAAACTCAATCTCTTTCATTTGAGCAAGAGGACTCCTAAAGTCATCTCCAATCTGAGGACTCCGAGAAGTAAAACATCTATATGTATGTGTTCGGTCTTAGGTATAACAGCCGGACATCGTGCGATACCCCAAAAAATATCTACCAAATCCGAAAACAATATTTGACCAGAAACATCAAAACGATTACCCAAATGCAAAAAAGGACACGATAACTGAAAAGAGTGAAATGATTTCACCATTAATAATGCCATTTCTAGAACACGTGCAATCTAATTGATGGAAAAAGCCTTACTCGTTCTTCTAAGCTTTCTTTTGGACTCCGTACACCAGCTGGCACTATAAGCGTGACCACGAAGGGAACCGCTATTGGCAAACTTTCATATGACGTAAGCACGAATCCCATCGGTATGCACCTCAACTGGCCTAAACACAAAGAGTAATAATGTGTGCAAAAGCACACCGTAGCAAGAGAACACTTTTGTTCTCCTTTAAATTTAAGCCTCTCTCGGGATGAACAACAGCCACACTTAATATGTACTCATCTTTAGCGTTTTTTAGTAGGGCATAAAAACGTCCTGTTGTTCCAGATGAGATTGAAGGCAAGACCCAAATCAGTATGTAGCTTCTTGATAGAAAAAATTGGCGCGTGACCAAGAAATACTTTTCTCTGTCTAATGTGGGCAGATCACTTAATATCCACGCAAATGGACATTCAATATTTTCAGTTTTTACCACATGATCGTTTTCATTCCTTTTGGCCAAGGCCGCTTTTGCACCCAAAAAACCTATTGTGGAAAGAAACGGTATTTCACTTACTAAAGACTTATTCTTACAGATCGTTTTAAAAAAAAAAAAAAAGCTTCTAGTTCCATTCTTCGTCTTTCTACAAAAACAGGGTCTGTGGCTCCAAAAAGCTTTTTTGGAGGTAAAGGTGGTAAAGGAAGATAAGGATTCAGCTCCAGCATTCTTTTAAAAACCAGATAAATCTCACTAAATCTACAGTAGGTAATACTCAGAATTTTATCTTTATCCGTGACACTCCTAATGCATATTTTGTACTCCATATGGCCATCCTGCCATCTCGGATCGCAAACCACGATGTCCATGCTTTCAGGTGAAAAAATTTGCTCATTATACGTCACCCTTTACTATATGCAAGGAGCAAAACAACTGGGTAAACAGATTCACATGAAAAACAATGCACCAACAGCAAAAGAACAGATAAAACGGCAAAATAAATATGGGATCGTAGCGTATATCAACCGACAAATTTTCATTAAGAGATAAACATATGAGTCCTATTAAAGCCTTTACGTTTTCCCTTTTTAAAATTTACCTTTTTAGAAATTTTTTACAGTTTTGGCCAAGAGGCAAAAAACTTCATCAGTGATGGTACGAGCCGCTTCCGCGAAACAGAAGGATCACTCAAATCATAACACATTAGTCTCCATCCCTTCAGTTCTGCTCTGTCTATAATGGTGAAACAAATACCCTCAGGTGAACTCTCTGCAAATTCTTTGAGCGCCTCAAGAAGGATCCCCCTTGCAATAAAAGCCAGCTGTCGGCAATAATTTTTATATCCCCTTTCTCCAGCAAAAGCCAGGAGGAAAGCATCCAGCTTTTTTGGCAGCAAAAAATCGAGACAGTTGGAAGCAAGATGCATCATTCCACTTGAGCCAAGAAACTCATCAAATCGACAAGCAATGCTACTTATTCCTATTTGCAATTGTTTGTCTTCATTTTTCCCAAATGAAAATTCAAAGTCCTTGTAGTCTCTGCGGAAATGTTGGGGGAAGGTAAGAGCGAGTATATCATTTTTCCATGTTGACAGCTCCAAAAACATCTTTTTCGGATCAATTAAAACAGAAGCTTGTTTTATAAGCCACTGGGATAACATTATATCCTTTTCTGTAACTTTCTTTTGAGATGGATCAAAGTTTACGGTGTCAAGTACAATGGGCGCTAAGAGAAGCTCCGGACATGGAACCGTCAATTCCGCTTCTTGAAACAATTCTGCGACAAGAGTACAAGCTGAACCTGTTGGTTCTATTCTTCGAAATTGACTAGAAGAATCCAAATACAGTTTCTCATCAAAATGATGATCTATAACACCGACGACACGTTCACACAGAGATCTTTGTTCAGGAATAAGCTTGTTATGATCATACAAAACGACATTGGGTTGGGATGATTTTAGATCCAAAAAACCTGAAATACCTGGCTTTCCTTTAACTGAAAGTAAGTAATCCGTTGCTATACCATGCTTTGAAAATAATTTTATGACATCATTGCGCAACGGAAGATCCTCCTTTTCAAAGTTTAGTGCGGGAATATAACTTCCACCTCCCAAATCGGCATTTTTTTCCAGGTATAGAGACAAATAAATTGAGCCAATGATGCTATCCATATCGCCCCCGTCGTTGCCAAGGACAAGGGTAAACGGCTTTCGGGCAGCAAGAATCCCAGCGCCGCCCCTCAAAAAGTCATTTATCACGGCAGCCATTCCTTCCTCTGTGACGCCTTTCTCTCTCCGGAAAACAAATCTGCCAAAAAAAAAAATGTATGCATATATAAAAAAAAGAGGATCGGAAACAAAAGCGCGACAGGTTCGCGCAGGTTGCTGGGCCAGCGGGGCGCCGGAAGAAGGCGAGACAACCTGGGTTTTTGGGATTGGGCGGTTTTGGCGTTGGCGGCGCGGTTTTCGCCCTTTCGGCTTCGTTGGCGTGAGACGGTGTTTTGGTTTTGTTGCCGGCGACGGTGGCTTTGTAAATAGGAGCTTGTGAAGCGAATGATCGCGGGAGAGCTGGCTAACTTAATGAATGTATGTACACCCTGATAAATGAATGCATTCTTTATGATACTTTCTACCGTATGAATCTTTTGGGAAGAACGCGACTTTGTAGGGGCGGGGAGCCGATAGAGGCCAGATAAGATTTGTTTTTATTTTGCCATCCCACCCTAACCCTTTTGATTCCCACCACGCGGCGGGGTCTTGTGGTTGGAGGAGCCCAAAGTCTGCCACGTCGTAAGAAATAATATTTCATACGCTCACTGAGTGCAAAGGCCACGTGAGTGGTCAACAGTATATATATATATATATTATCGGAGGGAAACACTGAGGCAATTAACTGTCTCTTCGATACTCCCCTTTTTCTCTATCTTGTTTGGTTTTGTAAATAATTTCAGGATCCAGCCGGCGACCCAGAAGATTATTCTATATATGTATTTATATTGTTTCCTCCCCCCGTATATACTTTAGAAGGAAACATTGGACTATATTTCTTTGGTATTGGGAAAGGCTTTTTTGTTAAATTTTTTTAAGGAATAGATTTAGGTCCGCTTCTTTGCTAAAATAGTTTTTTTCCCTTTCTTATCGTATCTTAAATATGGGCGATTACATCGCTGTTACTGTGGGTGAGGATTCTGGATTTTTATTTTTATTTTTTAGAAAATAAGGAGGGAATAATGAGTTATTATTATTATTATTATTATTATTATTATTATTATTATTATTATTATTATTATTATTATTATTATTATTATTATTATTTTGTGTGTGAAATCAGTTGAATATCTATTGTAAATTGAGGCGATGGGGTACTGGCCAAAAGTTATTTAGCATATGTGCTTTCTTGATAAAAAATTTGGAAAAATTTTTCGTTTTATTTTTATTTTTATTTTTTATTTTTTTGGATATAAGTGCTCTCTACATGTTTGTTGTAT